TATGAATCTTATAGTTGATCTTAACAATTGAAAATTTTCTTGAATAGAATGCTATTGAGTGAAGTTTATCATTTATTTCTACTTCTAATAATATAACATCTAAAGCAAATTTTGATACATTTGTTTCTATAAAAAATGGCTTAAAAAAATTTATGTAATATAAGATTGGTACAAAAGTAAAGGCTATCTTTAAAGCTTTAAATATTGCTTCTGCTTCTTATTTCCATTGAAATTTGTCTTTACAAGTCAAACATGTAAGTAGAGCTGCAATTTGAGAGAAGTTCTTGATAAAGATCCAATAGTAGTATGTAAATTCCAAAAAATGTTAAACATCTCTTATTGTTTTTAAGTTCTTCTAATGCATAATAGTTTGAACTTTCTTAGGATCTATCATAAGTCCATCATTTGAAATGATATATCCTAATAAGTTGACTTGAGTAGTGTGGAATATATATTTTTTTAAATTGGTATAAAATCTTGCATCTTTTAGTTTTTGTAACACATGATGAATATGAAGTTCATGTTCTTCTATATTATTAGAATAGATTAAAATATCATCTATGTAATAGATAATAAAGCCAACTAAAAACTTTTAAAAAATATCATTTATTAAATATTAGAAAGCTATTCATGCATTTATAAGTCCAAAAGGCATGATGTTATATTCAAAATGTCCATACCTTGTTCAAAATGCAACCTTCGATTCATCTCCTTCATTGATGCATACTAGATTGTATACTCATTGTAAATCTATTTTTGAATAGATCTTAGCTTAATTCAATTGATCAAGAAGTCTAAATATTAATAGTACAAGGTACATATTTTTTATGGTGATTTTTTTGAGCCTTCAATAATCAACACTCAATTACAATGATCCATCTTTTTTTTTTACAAATAAAATTAAAGCTCTTGCTGAAAATTTGGAATAGCATATGAAGTTCTTGGCTAAATTTTCTTCAATATATTCCTTGAGTTGAGCCAACTTATTTTGTGATAAATTATAAATTAGTCCAAACGGCAGTTGAACTCTTTTTTGAAGGTCAATTGAGTAATCATAGAGACAATGTTTTAGTAGAGTATCTATATTCTTCTTTTTTTTTGAAAGGTGCAAAAAAGTTCTTATACTTACAAATATAGGTTTAATTGCACTAGTTTGTGACTTTTTACTTGATCAATTATACTCTTAGCTATACTTTGAAAAAAGTGAAGACTGTAAAATATCCAATCTATTTTTGGGTTTTTTTTGTAGCTATAATAAATCTAAAATGATTAGATTAGAACGTGATCTAATAATATTATATATTATATAGCTACTATGACCATTGGTTGTTACTTCCATAAGAAGTATTTGATGAATAATATTTGTTGAAGACAATGGATGATCATCTATAACTTCTATGTGAAGAAGTTTAATATTCTTCACTAAAGATATGCTGTATCTTTTAGTAAATTCTTCATCTAACAAATATGTTGAAGCTCCTGAATCTAACAAGGCAAAGACTTTGTGATATTTGGATTATAAAATAATATTTATTATAAAACAAGGAGAAGGTTCTGAAGAGAGAATAGGACCTTTATTAAATATTACACATGATTCTAGCCACATGGTTCCTATTATAAGTGGACAAATTCATTTTTTTACATACTATCTTCTTTGATGGTTGTACTGTCTATTTTATAATTCCATCGGTTCTTTCGACAATGTTAAGTAGTATGCTTAGATTTTCTATAATACAAGCACAATCGTTTCTAATAACAATGAATCTTTTCTTGTGTAGTAAGAGGCTAGAAACATACTACATCAATTTATATATCTTCTACTTTCAAATGTGTATGTTGAAAATGTATTGGCATTATCATTGAATTATAGTAACATTAATATATACTTGCACAACTCTTATATAGAAATTCAAAAATTTGATTGTCACACCTCACAACAAAGTCAATTGTTTGATTCAATGTTTAAGGATCAAGTAAGTTAAGCATCAATTTTTTTACCTCATATTATAATTTGTAGAGAAATTGGCTAACAAGTGTAGTATCATCCCATTTGTTATCATTTGAAGTTGTCAAAATTATGAAGCATATAACATTATTGATCAATTGTCTTGTCACAAAATATATATCTTATTGGTTGCAACACAAATTGCATCATGTTCTCTATACATGGATCAAAACTTTGCTAAAAAAAATCTCAAATTTATCTAATATTAAATCTTATCATTCAAGAAAAGATGAAAATCATAATAATATTGAATTTGAAAGGAATGTACTAATGAATCTAACTTGCGATCTTGTTGTTGAATAGCTTTAGAATTGAAATTCAATCATAAATTATACTTCATTAATAAATCTTCAAAACTTGGATCTTGTACCATTAAATTTTTTAAGTAGTACAATCCTTGGTTTTCTAACATTACAAGGATATTCTATCATAAAAGAAAGAACATGATTTGGTGTAGAAATTGAAGCAGCTCCAATCATCTGTATATCTTTGCTCCCTATCATTCTTGTTGTTTTCTATGGGGATAAATTAAGTTGATGCATTGCAAGCATTAATTTCTTCAATTGTTCTTGTATTTGTGCCATTGCATTCTTCATTTTAAGAAGCTCTACTATGATAATACTTAAAGAAGAGAGGATGTTTAATATTGCTTAAGAAAAATAGAAAAAAAGACTTGAAAAAAAAGAAAAAAATATTAAGAATAATATTAGTTTAGAAGATGATAATCTGCAACTTTTTATGCACTTAAGTCTTATATAAAAAAAAATCTACTTTTATTCAAGAAAAGACAAAGCTCTAATATTATAAGTATAATCTATGAAGAATAAAAACTCCAAAAAAGGAAATAATCAAGTGAGACTATCTTAAAGAAATATAACAAAATAAAAATAGAATAGTATGTATTTTGAAAAGGAAACTAGAAAGGCTACTGCCAAAAGACAAAGAAACTAGAGACTCTTGAAACTTGACTAGAAACAAGAAAGAAGTTGACAAGAGTGAAAAAGGCTTCACTCTTATCTCTATATATACTATCTACTTAGGATCTATGTGGCGACATTCTATAGGACCTCCAATAATGTATTTTCTTTACATGACACGTATCTTAACTTGCAAGGCACGTTTTCTATATCGATGCCACATAGTTAGCTTGTTTTGCAAGCTACCAACACACATGGCACATGGTTAGCTTGTTGACCAAGTTTCTAACCTATCTATTAACTACAAATACATGTAAAATCAAAATAACATCTAAGAAGCTTTTTTAGAAGGTATTATAAAATTAATCTATTTTTACCTACTTCTACCTATTCATATTATCTATATAACAATTACAATATATATATATATATATATATATATATATTTGTGACATTCAAATGATTTTTTTTGTCTTAATGAAGATTCAAAGATTGTTATTTGTAATAGCTCCTATTATAATTTAAAGTAATACGCATATATTTTAATCTCTATTATTATATGAAAATTGGCCTGTAAATATTTTAATAAAAGTCCATCATTAGAATTTTAGATAAATCTTGATCATCTAGTAGTTGAAAGTTTTAAGATTTTAAAATCTTTTTTTAAGTATTCATAAAATAGATAATTTTATATTTAATAAAATTTATCAATATATTAATAATATATATATATATATATATAAATATATGTTGAAAGATTTACAATAAATTTTTTTAGTATGTATATATATATATATATATATATATATATATATATATTTTGACAATTATATGTACTTATAAATTAAGTCTTTTTGATCAAATTTATGTAGATTATTAATGCTAGGATTCTATTACTTTTATTGGAATAAGTAGTATCTTTTAATATCTTACATTACAATTATCTACATATATATTGTCTAATATGATATTATAAATATATCTATTTAAATTATTGAACATAATATCAAGGACTTGCAAGTAATTGCATGGTATAGCAAATCCTCACATCTTTTAGACTATTCTTTAAAATATTTCTTAGCCATTATTGATAATTATTAATAAATAACATAATTTTTGCATTATATAAAAATTTGTCTATATTTTTAATCCAATATATTAAAATTCATTGTTTTAAAATTAAAAAAAATCTTCAATATTCTTAAAGATATAGAATTGCATATAATTTTTATACAATATATAATACCAATGTAGAATCAAACAATTCAAAATTATAAAAGAGATTTTTTGGAAAGATTTGCAAAAGATTAGATGTCTATTTACATACAAATAAACAATTAGAAATCTTTTGAAAGCTTTTTATATCTTTTCAGATTGGCTTATGTTAATTTTTTTGTGTTCTATCAATACAAAACCATTGTATTAACATCTACATATCAAATACATAAATATTTTATAAATATACATAATTTATTTTTAATTTTTTATATTAAAATTATTTTATAGGTGTGAAAAACTAATTGCATCAATTGGAGGTAATTTTAGAATACAATTATCATAACATCATCTAAGCATGACTTAAAAGTAAAGACAAAGGCTATTGCTAACATTATTATTTAAAAAAATCTCAACACTTATATAATGCTAAAAATAGATAATTCTCTAGAAAACCTTTGATATTTCTAATAATAGATATCATAGAAATCAACTCTAAATCTTGTTTTAGAATCATTTCTAAAATTCCATCTAAGCAAGTTAATATTGAAAAGTTTTGAGTTATCTAAAAATAGTAGAATTTGATGAATTTGATGAATTATGTTTGGAAGAAATCAGCATCTTAAGACTTAAGAAACAAAGGTCATGCACAGCCTATTAAGAAGATGTATATCTATATATTAAGATCGCTCAACTAGACAAGTGCGAGGAGACAAGTGATGGCTCTCCTTCACTGCATGCTCCCCACTTCGTTTTCATCAAAAATACTTCAAGTTATCTGGAAAAAACACGACCTTAACAGAATTAATAACTTGCTGTTTTGGGATGTTAATGTGTTGTGTCGATACATTCCGTGTGCCGCCTCTTAATCTCAGAGCATTCTTCTGCATTCTTCTTCTTGAGTGAATGGGAGAGCAGGTGGTAGTCGCTACGCAATGCAAGTGGGTAGAGAGCTCTATACGATGGTATTGAGTTGCTGCGTTTGGCTGGCTGGTTCGCTGGACGTTGTCAAGTGTGGTCGTGTGACAAAGCACTAAGGCGAATTGGATGATTCGAAGCAAAGCCGGGGAAAGATCCATGGCTTGATGATCTTGAATGCTGGTGCCGCCGGCAGTGGGGAGCCGCTGAAAGTGGAAAATGCAAGGAATTCATCACAATAATTTTGGTGGTTCAATGAATTCTTGCAGTTTGATCTTCTCTTATTATTACGAGTGAATTTTACAAGCGAACGCTTGATGATCCTGAATGTTGGTGTTGCTGTGAGTAGGTTCAGCTCCAGCTAATCCAATGCACACCTCAGGAGGTAAGCCATTGTAGGCAAAAGCCACATGTGAGGAAGTTGAGCAAGTTTCTTTTACGGGTACTGATTTTGCTCTTGCCATGGTGTTCATAGGCCGTTAACAAAACTGATGATAACTGATGATGTTTTGTGTGCCACCTCTCAGACTCAGAGCATTCTTTTGCTTTCTTCTTCTCGAATGATGAGTGAATGGGAGAACAGGTGGTAGTTGCTACATGTTGCAGGTGGATTGATGGTATCGAGCTGCTGCATTTGACTAGCTGGTTGGCTGGACGTTGTCGTGCGTGGTTGTGTGGCAAAGCACTGACGCAAATTGGATGAATTTTACGAAGTAGATTATCACAAGTGAATTGTATTACTTGAATTTTGTCGCTTGATGATCCTGAATACTGGTGCTACTGGGAGTGGGTGCAGAATGCTGGTGCCGCTGGGAGTCGATGCAGAATGTTGGTGCCGTTGGAAGTGGGTGCAGCTCTAGCTCTTGCCACCGTATAGGAAGCTAATCCAATGCACACCTCAGGAGGTATGCCGTCGTAGGCAAAAGCCATACCTGAGGAGGTAAAACACAAGTCATGCAGCTCCAACTCTTGCCGCGGTGTCCAATGCACACCTCATGAGGTAAGCCACCGTAGGCAGAAGCCACATTTGGGTAAAACACAATTACACCTGAGACTACAAGTTGATCAAGTTCATAAGTTTTTGTTTTTTTGTTTTTTTGTTTTTTGTTTTGTTTTGTTTTGTTTTTTTTTTAATACATTAGTTTGTTTTATGGGTACTGATTTTGTTCGTGCCTTCCGTTGTAGGTTTTGTCAGATGATGAGAAGAGGCCATTGTATATGATCAGTATCATTTTACAAAGAATTAAGTTTTGGGCTGTCTTGCTCCAGAGCAAGCAAATGAATTCATTTACAATATTTTTATGACAATCAAGCAAATGAATTTATTTGCAATATTTTTATGACAATCAAAGTTAAATTTATGAATTCATTTTATTACAAAAAAAATATGATATTTTTTATATTCAACTTCATATGTATAAATATATACATATATCTATTTAAATACAAAATTAAATAATGATATATAATGATGTAATGATAATTTTTATATTTTATATTATATTTTATATTTTTCCAAATAACATTAATATATTATTTTTTAATTCTTTGGAGTGTAGGTATGAAGACTAAAAAGTATGAATGACAACTTTTTTGCAAACCTTTTGTAAAGGAACTATAAATAGAAGAATTGTGTGCTTGACTTTTTTGATTCTATACTACACATATTTCACATCCTTCACATCTTTCTTTCTTCTATAACAAAAGCTAGGATATTATTAGTAAGCATGGGTTTACAGTGACAAACAAAACCGAGTACAAAATCTGAAGTGCCAACTTTCAAGAGCAATTACAGAAATTTCAATGATTGCTTTATAAATCTGAAATTTACATGGAATAATACACACAGTCTTGTACACATGTACAAAGTTGCACATCAAATTGATAACTAAACATCCTTCTACAAAGTCAAATCAACAACTATGTCTTGTACTCAGTATTGTTTAAAGAAAATCTTCAAACTTCAATATTTAGTCCAATAACCTTTTGCTTCCAAAACAGCTGAAATCCTTCTTGGCATACTTTTGTATAGTTTCTTACAATCTTTTGCATCAAAACTAGGGTAAATACTACAAACATTTTCCCACAATTCTTGAACACCTCTTGGCCTTGGAGTGACTTGGCTTAAACACTGTTTGAGAAGGGCCCAAAAATGTTCCATTGGATTCAAATCTGGAGATTGAGTTGGCCATCGAAGGAGCTGAAATGGCTGTGAAGAGAGCCAAAACTGAACACTTTTTGCCGTATGTTTGGAATCATTATCATGTTGAAAAACCACCTTAGTAGGATCTAAGTTGTAATTCTGTGTGGTACTTTGCAAGTAGGTTTCTAAATTTTTTTTGTACAAGTGTTGCTCCATTCTACCTTCAATTTGATACCAAGCATCCGACCCAAAAGCAGTCATACAACCCCAAATCATAATTGAACCACCACCATATTTGACAGTTTGACTAACATGTTTAGGTCCAGGTCGTTCTCCTTCTCTCAACCAACACCAAGACCTACCATCTGAGTTGATTAGGTTAATCTTTGTCTCATCACTGAAAATAACCCGTCTCCAATCATCAACAGTCCAATTTTTGTATTTATGAGCAAAACTCAACCTTGCAAGAACATGTATTTTGGCAAGTAGAGGCTTCTTTTGTTGCACACAAGCACCCAAACCACCTTCTTTCAAACCACGCCTCAAGGTGATGTCTGAGAAGTGTTTACCTGTTTTTTCTCGAAGTTGTTTTGCAGCTGCACTTGCCGTTTTGAGACAACCAGCAGTGACAAGGTGCACACCAAGTCGCTTCTCTTGCTCTCCTAAAACCTTTGGACGTCCTCCTCTTTGCTTTTTTATTTCACCACTAATCTCCCTCCTTAGATGAGCTACTGAAGACTGACTCATTCCAAGTGAGTCTGCAAGTTTTCTTGTAGAAATACCACTCCTAAGCTGCACCAATGCTGGGTGCTTCAATGATTCACACAACCGAGGCATAGAGATACAATTGACAAATCAACTTTCACTATAGATAGTACACAACAAGAGCAACACAACTAACAAAAAATGCCCTCAAATCTTGCAACAAGGAGTGTACATTGAAATTTCGAAATTCAGCAAGAAGAAGCAACCAAAACTGAGTACGCACGTCTGTGTGCTTCTACAACACTTTTCTCATAAACCCTACCTCAAATGATAATGAGATTTTTCATCCATGTAGAGGACTGGATGAATACACACAATAAAAAAGTAATTCTATCAATTGACTTATGTGTTAGTTGGAAGGATCAATGAACTATGAGTGTTCAGATTTTGTACTCGGTTTTATTTGTCACTGTATATAGGAATTTTATAAGAAATAAAGTTATTTTAATATTTTAATTATTTTTATCTTTATAATTATATTTATAATTTTTATTTATAATTATATTTATAATTATATTTATTATATTATATTTCATATTATATCTTCATTATAAATATGGATTCTTGAGCAACAAAGTTTCATTGGAATTTTACAAGTATTATTAACTATAATAAGAATTACTATATAAAAATTAAATTATAAGAATTTCATTTCTTTCTCTTATATGAAATTTTTTATATTCAACTTTATATGTATATATATATATATATTTGTGTGTATAAATAAATAATGATATATTTTTTAATAAATATTATTTAGTAAATATGGAGGTGTAATTTATGAAAGTACAATTTTATAGAGATATAATTTAGATGACTCCAAGCTTACTCCAATTCTCTAGTGAAATCTATGCCATTGTGAATGGTCCAGCTTTAACAATGAATAGAAGAGCAATTGCTCAACAATAGCATAGGAAATGTGAGAGAGCACAAAAGAAAGCTGAAATAGTTACAAGTATTGAAGCCACCCATGCCATTATAAACGGTCCAACTTTAACAATAAATCAGAGAGCAATTGCTCAATGATAGCATAGGGAATGTGAGAGAGCATAAAGAGAAGCTGAAATAGTTACAAGTGTTGAAGCCATACATAATCTACGAAAGATGAATGTTTTGTGTCTTCATTGTAATGCATTGGATTAGTTTGATGAACATTTAGCCTGGTCGCGAAAGCAGTTGCTATTATTTGGATAATGTTGTCGTCAAGGAAAAGTTTCTCTACCATCTCTATCTTCTCCACCTTTGCTTTTGAAATGCTTATTCAAAGACCAAGATGCAAGAATAAGAGAATTTTGAGAAAATATTTATTAGTACAATATTGCACATGCGTTTATGTCCTAAGATACAAATATTGGTCGATCTGTACTTCAAAGAAATGCTCTATACAATTTTAGAATAAATAGAGAGTTGTACTATTTAGTGAAAGCATTGTTACTAGAAGAAGGTAATGACCCAACTTATGCACAATTCTATATCCACGATGCATCATTTGCACAAGATAGAAGAATGAGACATAATTGTGGTTTATTGAGTCAAACTATGTAAGAAATTGGAGGAGTTTTGAGAGAAAATAATTTGTTTATTGGATTATATAGACATGTACATGAAATACTATCTCAAATGCGGAATGAAGGAGTAGTAGAAGTAGAACTTATTGTTTCTTTGCACTTTATGAATGAGAGCAATAGACACCAATATAATCTTTCCACCACTTTTGAAGAAATTGCTATTATATTGTCTAGAGATGGATCAGAGCACAATGCACTTTGCAATATTATTATTTGCCTATGTAGGAATGAGTTATTAGAAAGGATTCATGAGGCTCATTAAGCTTATTTGCTCCTTTATTATGTTCTATTTATTCTACATGGAACCCTTAGATGGTATCCTAACCTAAGGGCGCAAAATGTAGTGATGGATATTGTTGAAGAAATAGAAGGTGTTAGACAAGAGGATTGGAGAGACAACAACCTTACACAAATGGATTATTTTTCTTATCGACTTTTTTAAGGCCTACTGAGTATTCCACATTTTTGCATGGAAGAAAGCTATTACAAGAATTTATGGTTATTGGATGGGCAACAATTGAGCAATCACGTTTGTGATATCTACATTACAATCAAGGAAATCTATGTGCTGATTTATACCAAAGATTAGTAGATACTATTATAACTAATCAAAATATTGGGCATGAAGAAGAACAATATGAATTAAATAATTTAAGGTGCAGGATCTTACTTCCATTATCATATATTGGAAGTACAAGACATATGATAGAAATACTTCAAGAATCTATGGCAATTATAAGGTTTTATTAGCATCTTTATATTTTTATAATAGTGACAACAAATCCAAGATGGTCCGATATCCAGAATGAATTGCTTCAAGAACAACAAATAAGTGACTTGCCAGATTTAGTTGCTTATGTATTTGAGCTCAAGAGACATGCAATTATAGAAGATATAAAGAAAGGAGTTGTCTTTGGTCATGTTATTGCACATGTTTATACCATTGAGTTTCAAAAGAGAAGTCTATATCATATGTATATCTTGATTTTTTAGATAGAAAAAATAAGATTAAATGTACTAGAGATGTGGATTATATGGTTTATGTAGAATTTCCAAATAAAGACAATGGCCAAGAGCTATTTGAAGTTATTCTATAATGCATTGTACATGGTCCATATGGAATGTAAAATCTTCAAGCATCTTACATAGAAGAGGGTTGTTGTACAAAGATGTATCCAAAGGTATTTGCAAAAGAAATAACAATGGATGCCAGTGGATATCTCCAATATCAACAAAGAAATGATAGAAGAACATTTAAATTTTGAGGAATGGTTGTTGATAATAGGGATATTTTTCTATCTTATTCAAAACTATCTTAGAAGTACAATTGACATATTAATGTTGAGGTTTGTATATCTATTTGTATTTTTAAGTATATCCACAAATACATCTATAAGGGCCATGATTGCATTACAATGTAATTTAAAAACCAACAAGACAAGATCAAATAATGTTTGAATGTAAGATATATTGGAACTCCGGAGGCTATTTGGAAACTATTTGGCATTTAGATCTATGAAGAAATGCCAAATATTATTTGCTTGGCTGTTCATCTACCAAGAATGTATCAAGTGATATATGATCCAAATGACGAGGCAGCTGCAATTTTAAAACATGTTGAAAGAGAAAAGAAAACATTAACTTTATTTTTTGAGATATGTGTAGCAATTGTAGTAGCAAGACAATATACATACCAAAAATTTTCACAAAATTTCATTTGGAATAAGATTAGAAAGATGTAGATGTTAAGAAAATGTAGATTTGCTATTGAATGTTTATATTTTGCAAATCGTGCAATAGGAAAAAGATATTATTTGAGGCTTCTTATAATCCATGTTAAAGGTCTATAATGATTTGAGCACTTAAAGACTATTCATGGGATTTTCCATCTAAGATTTAAAAGTGCATGTGCAGCTTTAGGATTACTTAAAAGTAATAGAGAGTGGTAATAATGTTTGGAAGAAGCATCAAGAATACAAATTGGATTTCAATTGAGGGCATTGTTTGTTGTTTTTCTATTGCATGGAAATCCAATAAATCCATTAAACATATGAAAAAGATTTAGGAAAAGTATCTTGGATGATCTCAATACCTATTTGTAAAGAAAACATGGAATTAACAATTCAATGGAAAAACAGATTAAGGATTTTAGACTTTTCTTGCTGCACAAGATTTTGCACGATTCTAACAAAATGCTTGCACAATTTTCTCTAATGCTATTATCAAGAAACAATTGGAATGTAATAGTTAATAGAAATCAATTTATTTCTGAAAAAAGAGCATGGAACATTCAAGAATTACAAGCAAATTTAGAGCTATATGTTTCACAATTGAATCTTGAATAAAAAAAGGCATATGATGATATTGTGGCATCTATAATGCAAAAACATGGATGCATGTTTTTTTCTAAACAAACACGTAGGAACTGGTAAGACATTTGTCTATAATACTTTAGCAACTAAAGTTTGATTGATGCAAAAAATTGTCATATGTATTACATCATTAGGAATTACTGCATTGCTACTAAAAAGAGGAAGAACTGCCCATTCTACGTTCAAGATTCTATTAGACTGTAATGAAGACTCTTTTTGTTCAATTACTAAGAATTTTGACCATGTTGAATTTATTTACCAAACTTTCCTTATTATTTGGAATGAACTTCCAATGCAACATTATTATTGTCTTGAGGCAATTGATCATTTTTTTAGACACACTCGGAATATTGATCGCCCATTTGAAAGAGCTACAATAGTTTTTGGTGGAGATTTTTGCCAAATATTGACATTGATTGTGAAAAGAACTCGAGAGGAAATTATAGCAGTATCTTTTTGACATTCAATATTTTTGCCTCAAATAAAAATCCATACATTAAAAGAGAATATGATGTTGAATTTAGGAGCACTTCAAGCAGATATTGATTTTGCTAATTGGCTTCTTTATGTATAGAATGCACATACACATTGTATATATAGATGGTAGTACATTTGAATTTTTTATGGTTGCATTATTATTGATTAATATTTCTATTTGTTACTTACCAAATTAGAAATAGTACAAACTTATTACTCAATAATATAGTTAAGCTTTCCGATTATATGATTGTTGATCAACAATTAATGTCTTTGGTAGAAGTTATTTATCTAAGACTGGCAAAAGATGGTGTAGCAAATGATGCCTTCTTTAGAGATAGAATCATTTTATTTGAATGAAATGATGATATAGAAGATATTAATAAGAAGATTATGGTCATTTTTCTAGAGAAGAATAAGAATATTTAAGCGTTGATGAAGTTGTTGTTGAAGATGGTATCGACAACAATAATGTTTATCCACTTGAATTCATCAAGTCGCTTAATCCATCTGGAATGCCTAGATCAAGGCTTTGTCTTAGGATTGAGACTCCGAGGATGCTACTAAGAAATATTACTCCTCACCAAGGACTTTTCAATGGAATCGAATTGGTAATTACACGATTAATGGATCAAGTTCTTGAAGCAAGAATTCTTAGAAGAAAATTTGCTAGAAACTTGGTGTTTATTCCGCAAATTATATTAACTTCTACAACAAAAGAACTTCTGTTTATTCTAAAAAAAAAAAGTAATTTTTCATCTGTCTTACATTTGCAATAATAATAAATAAATCTCAAAGACAATTAGTATAGCATGTTGGTTTGGATCTACGACAACATATTTTTTTTCCATGGTCAACTTTATGTAGCACTATCTCAATGCACTTCCTCTCATTCTATGAAGATTCTTCTTCTTAGAAACAATAATTTAAATTCTACACTAAATATTATTTTTCTAAAAGTTTTAATTATATAAATATTAGTATTTTTTAATTTATTAATTTATTAACTTTAATACATCTTTGAATGTCTTAACATACTTTTATGATTTAATATTTTATAATTTAATGGTTTTTTTTTTATATTTTCACAAGTAGTTCCTTGAACAAAATTTACTACTTTTTTTGTATATTATCTATAACAACAGCACGGGTTTACCTATCCTACTTCATACCTAAAAGCTCTATTGTGTATTTTATTTCTTTCTATTTGTATTGTATTGTATTTTTATTTGAAAAATATTTTTTGGCTTACAAACATATCTTTCAAAAATAACTTCATTTGAGTCACACTTTCCATGACAATGACACAGGTTTATGATATAGTACTTTGTTTTTGTGTTTTTGTTTTGTGTTTTGACTTTGTCTGTTTGTTTGTTTTTGTTTTATTTATTTTATTTATGTTTGGATTTGTTGTTGGATTGGTATAATGTGGATTGGACTGAAGTTGTGTGCATAAAATTGGATTTTTGAATTTTATTATTTTCAAAAATAATTTATTATTTATAATATTTTATAATTTTAAGATAAAATTATAATATTTATAATTTTTATTTTTAAGAGGATATTTTATTTTATTATAATTTTATTATTCTAAAATCATATCTTCTTTTATTATTATTATATTATTTTATTTTATTAAATTTTAAATTTGATTAGTTATTTTTTCATTATTTTTAGTTTTATTATTCTTTATTTAATTTTTGTTTTAAAGAATTTTTCAGAAAAGAATAATTTTTTATATTTTTTTTATCTTTCTAGTTACATTTATAGTTTTTATTCGTAACTACAACATGAAATTATTTATCCTATTTCATACATGAAAGCTCCACTATGTAGTTTTTTTTCTTTTTTTCTTTTTTTCTTTTTCTTTCTTTCTATTTGTATTGTATTATATTTGAATTTAAAAAATATTTTTTGACTCACAAAAATAGCTTCAATTGAGTCAAACTTTCCATGACAATGACATGGGTTCATCTAGTATATATATATATATATATATATTCAAGAATTTAGACAGTTTTTTTTTTTTTTTTTTAATTTACCTTGTTTAAATATATAACAAAAAGATATCCCAATAAGATAAATAATAAGATAATAATAAGACAAATTAAAAGATAAGACAAAAATAAGATAAATTAAAAGATAATAGTAAGATAAATTAAAAGATAAGACTCCAAAAAAGTCCAAGTTGCAAATAGTCAAGGACCAACCTTGTAGCTTTAGTACCAACAGATTGCAATATTCTAGCATATTTTTAGTTTTTTTAAATTCTTTTGTATATTATTAAGAAAAACCATATTTTTTAAATATATTTTTTTTAAGAAGTATCAATATAATACTATTTTATTATCTTTAAAAAGAAAATTAGATTAAAGAGTAGTTATTATATATGATTTATAATATATTGGTGTTAATTTAGTAAGATTAGTCAATTTACATCATTGGTGTTATAAACTATTGCATAGATTTCTAAAAAATTCATACCTTTTATCTTAAGATTAATAATATATTCTTTCTAAAGAATTGATTAGAGCAGAAATTATGGATGTTGTTTACGATGTACCTAGTATTGTGAAGGCTTAAGACTTCAAAAGCTAGAAAGACGTCAAAGCTAAATTCTTCCTAACAAATCTATTCTCATAATTTTATTATTTTATTTTATTTTCTTCATATCTTGTCATACCTCTATTTCACTAGATTAATCTTAAGAACTAAAACATATTAAGGAACAATTTTCTATCTTGTCCTAAAAATGCACTTTATTTATATACTTGGTAGATTTGATTCAATGTTATCACCAATACGTTATTTCTCTTCTTGTAATTAATAGCCAATATTTATGATTACATCAACTAACATTTTCTTAGGATGTATGTTTAATTTTAAATGCAAGTTGACTTGCACCCATCTTATTAACTTAGACTTAATAGTCAAGTTCTACAGTATATATATATTTGCATAGCAATGGATGTTATATTAAACTTGAAGGATTAAAAGTATATACATGCTTAAAAAAAGACATAACTTTCTTTCAAAACCTTAATTTGAGACATATTATCACATTTTTTTTATTTTTTATTTTTTTCAAGTAGTATTGCTAATATTACTTCTTCAAAAATTGATTATTGAGGTGTTTCTAAAAGAAGTTGAATTACATGGCCAAAATTAATAAGATATAAACCAACTTTAGTAAGTGGCTTAAAATGGATCTAAGAAACACATCAGAAAAAGATAACACATTTGTGGTACTATGCTAAGATTATAAATAATAGATCTTATTTATTATAGAAGTAGAGAACACATTCTACATCCAACCTTCACCAAAATATCACATTAACTAAGATGTCAACAATTCTATAATTGTCTTGCATATTGACAAAGTTTTTTTTTTTTTTTTTTTTTTTTTTCAGATTAAATTTGTAAATGATTATATATAGGTTTTTTATTCGATGAAAAGTTAAGTCAATTATAATGCACATATATGATTCTAATTGATAGTGCAAATGCAAGGTAGTGTTCTACTTTTAGAATTTATTTATATTCTAGATTATTTCATTAGCATTAACTATAAAAGTCATGGAAAGTTTACCACAGTCTACATGAGAGAGGAAGATGTTCCATTAATGATTTTTTATCTTTTAAAATATATTATAAAATATAATTACCATCCAAAACTTACTACTATTTTTGTTCTATTTAAAAAAAAAAACAGAAGCCATGAGACTTGGAAATATTGGTAGACACTTGGAAGTTCAATGGTTGAAAAAGTTGGATGTGCCAATATTCTTGCAGAGAAAGAAAGAACCTTTGTTGTGGACAATACTCACATGTTGAGAAGGCATGTATTGGACATGAAAGTGGAATGTATTAAATAACACAACATCTTAGGTAGTGCTACAAATAAAGATATTGCTAAGGATGCAGAAGCAAAGAAGCAAATATGAAGTTCAAGAACATTGCTAAGAAAAAAAGGACACACTATGTAAATAACATCATAGATGTGAAAAATACTAACAATAAAAATAAATAAATAAATAAATATATATATATATATATATAAAAATTTGGACAACATTTTTTTGCCAATTTAGGAATGATATTTTTATTATATATATTTTAAAATAGTACCGAACACTCATTTCGGATTCTGAAATAAAAAAATCTTTTTGAGCCTTGAATGTGTCCATCAAATTTAGTTTTTTACAGTTACATTCATGAATCAATGAAGTGATGCGAAGGGGTGGAGCTCCCCCCCCCCCGTACGGCGCCTCGCAGACTCCGCCGCAATGGTGTGCGTGATTGCTTCGAATTTGGGCTTCACGGATTCAAGCTTTGCTCCCCGGGATCACCCGTGGGAACTGCCTGCACCCCCTCCCCTCTCCCGGAGGCACTCACTCAGCTGTCTACCCGCTTGAATTCAAACTTCCTAATCCTGTATCGGATGTCACGCCCAGCTGCTTGTCTTTGCCTTGCCTTCCCGCCACTGCCACGCTCGACGCGAGGCGAGCGTGACGGGGGATGGACTCTTGTTACCGTCGCAGCGTGGATTGGGAGCGAGAGGGAATTTGCGAAGAGTGGAGAGAAGAGCAGCGTACAGCACAGCGGGGAGTGGAGTAGCGTGGAGTGGAGTGAAGGAGGGAGAGGATGATGGGAGGAGGTGCGCCACCTCTATTTCCACCTCCCTCACAGCAGCACCAGCATTATCTCGACATGGACGCGAATGCGCAGCCTGCGCAGTTGGTGTTAGGCCGGGAGCTTGCATCGCCGCCCGCAGACGGCATCTCTAACCTCCGCTTCTCCAACTACAGCGACCATCTGCTTGTTTCCTCCTGGGATGCGAAGGTCCGCCTCTACGATGCATCTGCCAACGTTCTGATGGGCCAGTTTAGCCATCGTGCGCCCGTTCTCGACTGCTGCTTCCACGATGACTCCTCCTGCTTCACTGCTTCCGCGGACCACTCCGTTTGTAGGTAGCTGGCTACGTTCCAATTTCGACGCATTCTTTCCTTCGCTGTTTTTCGTATTCTGTTAAACCCCTCCCAAACCCTGACACTTACAACGGGATGAGTAGCTGTTGAGCTGGAGCCGTGTTGGAATGGAGTGCTTTTCTGCTGGCATTTCAATCCCGTTCAATGGTCATGGTGGAATTGTCGGAACGATCGTTTGGAATTGAGGAGGCTTGGCTATGGGTGGATGGTCTTGTATAGGGTCCTGGTTCTGCCGCGGCCAAATGGAACTCGGCGGGGGCGATTTTGAGGATTGGAGTTGTTGTTAATTGGAGCTGGCTGAGGAAAGTCACTAAAAGAGTTGAGATCCATAATTATACTTATTAGGATGCGCGTAATTTTCATGTGGTGATCCGTGTACATGTTCTATCTCTTTCAGATATGATTTCAATACAGGTGGCGAGGATACTCTGGGAACACACGACGCTCCTGTGAGGTGTGTTGAGTATTCGCATGCAACTGGTGAGAAAAATGTTTATGTACCTTAATTCAATACTTTGGAGTTATTGCCTATTGTTTGTGACTCGAGTATTTTTACAAGGTTTGCAGATCATTGCAGGCTCGTAGTCATGCATCGGTTTTAAAAAAAAAATTTGTGTCCTGCGCAAGCTTATGGAAGTCGCTTCTTGGTAATTGAGGAGGTTGTAGGTCATGTAGTGACTGGAAGCTGGGACAAGACGGTCCGATGCTGGGATCCCAGAGGGGGTACTGGGGTTGGGACTTATCCACAACCTGAACGGGTGTACAGTATGTCACTAGTCGGGCACCGACTTGTCGTAGCCACTGCAGGTCGACACATTACCGTGTATGATTTGCGCCTCATGCAACGTCCTGAACAGACTCGAGAATCGTCCTTAAAGTATCAAACTCGTTGTGTACGTTGTTATCCCATCGGCACAGGGACGTGGCTTGCCCCTTGCTATAACTTTAATAATACCTATTGCATTGTCAGTGTTCCCTAGTATGTTTGATCATTAATGTTTTGGTGATTGTGCGTTAGGACCTCTTATATTGCGCACTTCAGCCAGTCAAAATTGAATGCACCTTATGAATGCGGTTTGTGAGGCTTGGGCTGGCTTTTGAGATGCAGTGTGGCCTGGTAGGTTACGCCCTCAGCTCCGTGGAAGGTCGTATTGCTATGGAGTTTTTCGATATGTCCGAAGCAGGCCAAGCTAAAAAGTAATTGTTTCAAATTACTCCCTACACCGTCTCTTTGTGTAAGGGAAAATGTAATCTTCTCATTTTCCTTGTTTTAAGCATTGCATGGAGGTATCTGTCTACCTTAGCGGGCCTCAAATTGTATTGGTTGCAATCCTATACAGATATGCCTTTAAGTGTCATCGAAAATCTGAGGCCGGGCGAGATACAGTTTATCCTGTTAACGCTATCGCATTTCATCCAATGTGAGTTATCGTGGTCAAACTCTGCATTTATGTGGCAATTAGTGTTTGGTTTAATTTTTTTGTAATTTCTTTATTTCATTACTCATAATAAGTTTGGAGATCTGCGAATGTGTTCAAGTAACAATGTCATCGAAAGCCAGACCTCACGATTTAGACTCAGCGTGTATATCCCTACTTCTGGGAATGTGGTTTTCTGTTTGGCATCGTTGTAGCTATGGCACGTTTGCAACAGGTGGTTGCGATGGCTATGTCAATATCTGGGATGGCAATAACAAGAAGCGGCTTTACCAGGTATTGTCATGAGTAATATGAGAATGAGTCAACTAGGTATTTGGTACAATTAGCAGCCTCAATTGCTCAAGATATTGATCGTGACGTTTGATTATGCTAAATTTTGATTGTAATTTTACTGATTTGGAAGAGGAAATAGCATTGACGCACTATCAATCAGCTGGTACTAGTTTATTCTTGTCTTAAGTTGGGTTAATGATTTTGCTAAAGCTGATGCTCGCAAGTAATGTCTCGCCATTGTGCAGTACTCAAGGTATCCTTCCAGTGTTGCTTCACTATCTTTTAGCAGAGATGGTCGGCTACTTGCCATTGCATCCAGTTATACATTTGAGGAGGGTGACAAACCTTAAGTCATCTTTTCCCTGTTAATATAGCCAATGTCTTCAACCTTGTTACGACGCATGTATTATGTCTGGAGTGCATGTCATTGAATACCGTTACCTCAATTGGTAATTTGTTTAGCATATTGATTTATTCAGTACTTGAAATCATTTCGCCATTGTGGAACTCTCCTTCTACTCCTACATGTTTTAAATTTGAACACTGACATTGTGCAGGCATGAACCTGATGCTATTTTTGTGCGAAGTGTAAATGAGTCAGAAGTTAAACCCAAACCGAAGGCTTATACGTCTGCTCCCTGAATAGAGAGGTGGATTGAATACCTGCCTACTAAAGTGTGAGCATTTGATCATAAACTTGAAGCGAGCATTAGATCATAGCCTTGAAGTGAGCGTTAGTTATTAGAGCATCTAGCTTGGTATCGGTATGTGACCAGGGCATTCGTGTCAAATTAATTGAAGGTAGTTCTAAGGTAGTCATGCGTAGTGAATTGGTGGCTTTGACTTGAGCGCAGCACTGTTCCAATCATCCGCAAGAAGTTATCACTGGCATTTTGTTGATTATAATAGTTCCACCTTCCTGTGGAAAAGGGCTGTGTACTGGTTTTAACATTGAATATGGCCCTTCACTGGATCCAGGAATGAGGTCAACTTTATTGAGCTTATAGCTGTTAATTGTCAAAACGCGTTAGACATTGAATGGTTGTTCGGACAACGTTAGAGATGTTTCCACATTATGGAATCATTCTTCAGATGTGAGACTCATCTACATGTTTTTGTGCTTAGAACTTATAAAATGCTTTTGTCTGCATGTGATGATGCCACTTATCATGGATGCGTCACATCCATCGATGAGACATTCCCGGAGCACTTTGATCGATGAGACATTCCCGGAGCACTTTGACATGCTTGAAACGGAAACACAAAAGTTCGTGCTCCGTAAGTGTGAAACAATAGTCAGAACTCTTCAGCATCACCGTATCAGGATCCATTGTGGCAAAATAGTCCTCTCTAGAGTGCTTAGTCATGTGAAAGGAAAATGTTTCAACAACAGCTGCTTTACCTGGAATAAATCCTACAGCCACACACTGGATATCTTGAATTGCATTCTACGTAAATCCAGTAAAAGAAAAATGATCATGCAGCTAGTCCACATAAGAAAAGTAGCTCATCTAGTGAACTACTATTCACTAAAAATTAGATCTAAACACTGGCATTCGCACGATTACCAGCCAAAAGGAGAGAAATCTCAAGACCTCGACTAAATGCTTGGTTGAAGACAAGGCGCGTTTGGAGAAGGGAGAAGAAGGGGAACCATGACAATACGGCAATGGGAATGAAAATGATCAAACCCATACACATATCATACAACCGAGCGATCTCTTTCACTGAATACCAAATTTTAAAGCCCTTCAACTGAGGTTGGAATACGACAGCAATCTGTACATATCAAAAAGCGAATTAGCCAAATACGTTTTTTCAGCCGTCATGAACATGTCCCAGTTCATTCAAATCATTTCCTCTCAGAATCCCTTGATGTACAAGCATAAAAATCAAGAAAACTGTTAAAAATGTAGCAACATCCATTCCTCAGGTACCTCGATTTAAACTGTGGATACCATTCAATCAAAACCAAAACCATCAGGAATGAGACACTGGTGTATAGCTATGAAAATGAGTTCGATATAATAAGTGACGGATGAGAGAAGTAAGATAACTCACAGAGATAATACCCCAGCCAGTTGGAACAATCGCAAGGGCCACAGCAAGACAATCAGTGACAGCTAGAGGAGAAAGAGCGATTGCCACAATTACTCCTCCAATAAGGAGCACAAACAGCGCCGCTTGAAACAGCCGGACGGTGAAGTGTCGGTGCGAATGCTTTAATGCAATGGCTGTACTTGAAGAAAATACCTGCATTCTCCAAGATGAGTTGTCAAGAATGAGATTTTACCAGCACAATGAGTCCCTGGAAGAGGCTATGAAGGCGGCTCAGGATAGTCTGAAAATGTCCAAAACATTATGTAGTTTGTTTCCGAGCTATCAATTCCACTAGGCAATGCAATTCCCATGATATGCTATTAGTGAAGTGATACTGTGAATCATGAGCAAAGTCATATGGAGTCGCACTAGGGATCGACTCTGACATGTTTTTATTAGGGCATGCTCTCGTAAGAGATCTCTCGTGTAGAAATCCTCTCGTAAGAGATAATGTGGCTAAAAATTGAGCAATAAGGCTCCAATGCATTAAACCAAGAAAGTTGAAAACTACAAGTGTTGCACCAATTTACATACAACCATTTATAAGCTGATATGACATCATAGTGGCATTCCCTAAAGGATAACGTCAGAAGAATCTCATGATTACATAAAAATAAAAAAAGAGCATACCGTGAAAATCGCCACGCAACCACACAACGTTATCCAAGAGTAAACATACACCTGCAGTGCCAGCAGTATCTCAAAAAATTACATACGAGATAATCCAATGATGAGGTCCGGGTTAAACAAATATATTGGAGATAATATATGCCGTGCCTTTTCTACATTGGATCATACCCTAAAACCATCACTGTCATGCATGCGAGGTCCATCTAACGTACTTCGCAATTTCTGATAATGAATCTTTTGGATGGCATTGATAGACACTAAAATCATTCAAAACAAATGAAAAATAGAAATGAGAATTAACATCTGAAGAACTCTATACCATTATGCTGGTGCTTCCTTGGAATACATCGAGATGATAGGAGACACCATACTGGAAGAAGAAAAATCGCAGTGAAAAAACGATCTCCCAAAATTTTCCAGCAGTTGTGCGAAGATGGGACTGAAAAATCAACCATGGTCATTGTTAAATTCTCGTTTTCATTCTCGTAAACTCTCTAGTGTGGAATTGCCATAAATTTAAAGTTATGAACCATGTGACTGCTAGTTATCGACAGAACCAGCGGGCAGGTGTAGAATGGACTTGGTGGTATCACCTATGTCAGCGAACTGCGATAAGATGTCGTACAGTCATTTATTTAGCCTACCCATGAGGAACATCTTACCTGTTCATCAAGCCACCAAGTTTCCCAACTAGTCTCACTATTCACACCAATACCGTCTTTGTATAGAATCCACTTTTGCCAATCCCCAAAATCGTCCACTGTCCTGTATCAAAATTTTACATTTTGTAAGACCAAATAGATTATTGAGCGAAAGACCACTCCTACAACGTAAGACCTCAGAGGACACAAACTATCATGTAACACTTGTTGCTTACAAATGAATGGCAGACATCATGACATTGATCAATACAAAACGAAAACAAGAGCTGTAGTGCTTACTTCTGCCATTCGAAGCCAGATGGGTTGAAAACATATGGCGCAAAGAGCCACGAAAGCGCCAGGAACCAGGAACTGAATGTGAGCAAAATGTAAGTAACTGATGAACGATTTTGAGCACCATAAGCCAGATAGATGACCAAGAGCAGGATGATCTCAAACCTGCAAACAACAGAAAACTCAGATGAAACCATAATAGCAGAATAAATGAACTTCCTTAAGGTGGTCCAATACTTCAACAAGAACTACGGTTCTTCATAGCTATTAGCCATAAAAACAAAATTATTTTCCACAATCACGGAAATAAAATGAAATAAAATAAGATCCATTCTAAACCAGTAATCAGTAAGTTCACGCTTAGAGACACTTACGCTTTAGTGAAATGACTGCGAGAGAACAACCGATAATTATCTCGAAATTTGATATGCCTGACAACAAAACCCCGTCCAGTCGCGAGATACTGCATAGCCCACGCTTTACTATTTATTCTCAAACATTACATCATCAAGCTCGAAAACCTGTATGAATAGATACCACATAGTCAAAAACCATCAGAAAAGCGAAGTAAACTGAGAATAGTTGATACCTTTGCACCTCCATGGAGTACAATACGCCCAAAATAGTGTGTACGAGTGCCCAGGGAGAAAGTAAAAAATACTGATGCCAACTGTAGCTGCATAGTACAGAAGCTCATAATAGCCTGCACATGACCACCCAAGGTCAGTACTCATGGCCTCAATGATTAGAATCGAATCATTCTCACCCTTTATTTCCTGATTACAACTTTATGAGTCATATGTATCTACGCAGCTGGCGCTTCATGCAGACCAAGTGCCATATCATGGCAATTCAACCACAGCATATGTTGGGAATTTTTAGTTGTTCGCAGACTCTGCTGTTAGCTCCATGTCTTAAGGGGCAGAAAATGACTCCAACACGCACCTTTCGTATGCCTTGCTCCAGTACTAAATTTACTATCATAGGAATTGCTGTGAACACTCCAATCTGAAATAAAAATTGAGAGGCCAGAACTGATTGCAATGCTTCGTTTCCGAGAATGTCGTTAAGGGATTTCAAAGATGCGTCTACACCTGATAGTGCCTGACAGACACAGCAGATTTAAAAACATCAGAATGCTACACAATGAAACTGATTTTCTCTCATAAATGCACACTCTCGCAGGAAACGGAGGCAACACAGGCTTCCATGGAAACAAAAGGATGACGGTCATCACAATTCAAGCCAAAATCCAACTCAAAATATAAAGGTAAATGACTCACCAAGTAAGCTTTCCCATATAAAAAGGCGTATAGCGTCAAAACTGTCATCTGTGTCACAAGCAGATTGCAAGAGTCTAGTATTACAACACGTTAAGTTTCCACGAATATTAATACCATGTGACCGTTTTAACCAAATAGAAGTAGATTGCTAAGAAACTAATGAATATGGTAGAAAAGGGACATACCATGGTGGTGACATAATAGCCAACTGATGTGAAAAAGAATGAAAGCATACGAGGGAAATCAAGCAGCTGGCCAAGCCTATAAAGATCACGGGCAAGTAATTGCTCTCCATTTCCGCTAGCCACCTTAGCCTCGAACATAGCTATTTGGTTCAGACCAACATCTCGTCCCTTCCCAACCTGGACAAATAAAATCACAATAAAACGTAGCTGGTGGTTCGTTCTATTTTAATGCTTTACACGGAAAAATAGTGATTGCATTACCACATGCGTAGTTGAAACGAACAAGGGCAAGTAACTACAAAGTAGCTGGACATCGAAAGACCTTCAACGCCGTAAAACCTCAAACTATCATGTGATAGGAACAGAAAATGCGGCAACCCAGGAAGTTTCAAATTAGTAGGCACCTAGACATATGAATTTCCAAAGATTGGATAACTCGTCGGGCCTTCATACTTAGCAATATGGGTTGACAAGGCCAAGTTTATATTGAAATGTAAACTTGCTGACCTACAGCTTTAAATAGTGACCAGCTTGGTCACTGAGGCTTTAAGGATGAATACTAATTAAGCGCATCTCTGAAGTCAATATGGAAAGAAGACAAACCTGAATGTATTCATGATGAGTGACGTTGCCCTGTCTAAGAGTAGTGTTGAATCCTGAAAAGAATTTGAAGTCATAAACAAGGTAAAATTAAACCAGCTGCACTTGATGAATGTCACCCTCAGAACTTGCACGCATGATCCAAATAGAACAAGAACAGGATAAATAATGCGTCTCACAGAAGGGATGGCCAGCCGGCCTCTGGAGCCTTGCGAAGAGCGTTGACGCAATACCTGCGAAGATGTCTTCACTAAGATTGATGCCGCATGATGCTTTACTTACACCACCAGTAGTAAAATGAAAAATCCTATCGAAGATATCTGGGTGGCCGTAGTGCATCCTCACCCTGAATTTAATTATTAACCGTAAGCTCAGCGCATTCAAAAGTCTACTGCTTATGAAATTTGAAAAGTGAGTGCAATGAAACAACCTTTGTTGCGTCAAACACCATGCTTCCATCAATTTAGTAAAACAGAATCATGTACTACTTACTTCAGAGGTCTGGCAAGCACTCGCTGCCCAAGTGTTACAAAGCTGGCTTCTTGCATGGACATAAACCACGCCAGTGAAGAAACACTGAACCACATAGTCAACGATGAGTAACCAAGTAGAACGCATAGGAGAACATGTCACAACTACGTGGAGTCCATCACATTTCAAATCAACCACATATCTCAAATTGATTACAATTATTTCTGGTGATGGAAATTTTTGCGAGCGACATACTTTTACAAGTCAAAGCTAATTCTGTCACAAACTACAATAACTGCAAAAAACACAGCAAACACAAGATTGCTGATCACCAGCTTAAATGCTATTTGTACCTTCCTGTGAAAACATGCTCACGAACACCGAGGATTGTGGGGGGGTTTCGCCCATGAACCTTATCAAACTCTTCTAGCAAGTTTCGCACCTTGAAAGCTTCCTCAAGGTAGTTGTCCTATGTAGCATCACGATCAGACTTGAAAGATTTAATGAAGAGTCTATTTCTAAGAAACTAAAAGGTATAGGATAACAAGATGCACAATTATTTGAATGCTTATCCCAGAGTAGACATAATACGAGACCGTAATACGCAAGGAAAAGGAACAAATTATCACAGCTAAAGATCCTCTGCATAATCGAAATACAAAGTCTACATATGCCTCCAATCATCATCTGCCTAGAATTACCCTCACAAAATGTAAAATTTCGCGGTTTCAGAGAATTATATGCTGAATCCCCATCGATGTTTAGAGAAAAAAATTTACCATAATCCAGAGAAAAATTTAGATGCATCTACAAAGAGAGTGAGGACAAGGAGAAAAGAAGGGCATCAAACCTGGTTCATATCAATAGTTTGAACAGCATCCCCCCGACTGAATATAATGGCATGATTTTGGTTCTCTGGTTTTCCCTCTCCAAGTTTAAATGGCCCAGGAAGCTTAACTGAGTAAATTACCTGCAACCCAGTACATAAATATTTGAGAAACAACGAACATTGTCATCTCATATCTGAACAATATAATAACACACTGAATACTGGGTTAAGATTAGAGGCAAATACATGCTAAAGAGGAGAAGAAGCGTCTACTCTCCGTTATGCAATCAGTTGTGTGTACTGGCTGGACCAAAGATAAATACAAGTAGTTGAATACAAGAAATAACCTGATCTTTTCCTTTATCCATTTTGTCTACTTTCACCAACTTCGAGTAGTATGTAGTCTTGCTCTTTGCACCTAATTCCCCATTGACAGTATCTACGTACGCGACTCTCAAGGATTCATTCCTAGTAGAAATCCACGAACCATGTTAGCATCCATGAGCTTAATTCACCGTTATGTCAATAAGGTGAATTCAAAGTAACACCACATCTGTGTAAGACAAATGAAGAAAATAATTGACCAGGAAATTCATAATCGTGAATAGAACTTATTCTCAAGTATCATCGTTAAGTCGTTGACAGAATTGAGTATAAGTTAAGATCCTCTAATATCCATTTTGAAACTTACTGTTGCATTAAATAGAGAATGTCTTTAGCTTGAGCGAGGCCCTTTTGCTTTTGATCACCGTATATCTGACACGATACAAGATACACGAATTTGAGGTCTGCCTGAGCTTGGGGGGTCCGCTGCAACAAGTCACGTTGATTATGAACTGATGACGAGGGCACTCCTCTTTCAGGATCTGCATGTTTCAAAACGATCCAGTTTCGAGTTATTACATTGAAGCAAAAAATAACGTGCGGTGAATGAGATGATGCAGAGATGAAAAGTTGACACGTGACTATCAACACGAACACACAATACGCACATAAAACTTTTTCACATAAAAAGTTCTAAGTTCATAAGGTGGGACATGGCAAGACTCTGAAAAATTTACGCATGAAAAGAAACTACACTACAAAATGTAAAATATTGTACTTTGTGAAAACTCAATACACTTCATGGGCGTCATGATCTCCACAATCATGGAGAACAAGTGCATTGCAGGTCGAGGGAGTCAATTTAAATACAGATGACCAGTAAAAACATATAGAAACCATGTGATAAACATGCGATCTCGCTCAAGAGAACATCAAAGCTGAGGAACGCACCTGAAACAGAACTTCTTTCAAGCTCTGCTTGAAGTTCTAAAGCCTTTTTGTAATACATCATGCCTCGAACTACAAAACACCACACCAAAACCCAAAACAGACGATCAGATGCATACTGTAGGTAGCGATGCTATGCAGTTCCTAAAAACTAACAATGCACATAACACATTACAAAAAAACGGGAATAATTGAATAATAGTTCTCGAAGTTAGAAACTAGAGAACAGATAAATTAGAGATTTGTACTCGATACTTTGTCTTCAGGTACTTCAATGGTTTTCTTGCAAAACGGGCTGCAGTTCAAGAGTTTCCAAATAGTACTGATTCCAATACTCAATGGAAAACATCAGTGTAAGATGTGTTCCATTAACTTATCCATGTCGTATTCTTTGTAAAACCGAAACACAAGCGATTTCCAAAGATATGAATTATCAAGGTTAATTTGACACCAAGTATAATTCCATTTTCTCAGTGGATCTTTCAGCATTAGATAAACCTTAAGTAAATAGTGAAGTATCAATTTGACCACTGAAGCTTCATTGAATAAGTTACATCTAAAATTTACAGAGATATTCATGCTGACCCAAATTTATTCTGCAAATGATTAAAAAAGAATCGTTTGAGGTGTTCTAGCACTTGGAGGAAGGGTTTACCTGTTCTAGCCAAAGTCTGACCACGATATGAAGCCCATAACCGTAATTTCAGTATGGTGTCAGATTTTTGCCCTTTTGCAGAATCTGGCCACACGTGTGAGTGGAACGTTCCCTCAGTGAGTCCCAACCTCTGGAGGAAATTTTTCCATTCGTCTGCTTACGAGCAACAGAGATTATCAAAATTGCAATAAAATGATAAGAAATGCATCTAAGATCCTTATATGGTCTAGAAGTGACAAAAGTACACAAAAGTGTTGCATGCAGAATAGAAATAACCTTGTTACAATTTCTGTAAACAAGCCACGTAAATTTGTGGTCTTCCTTTTGTGTATAGGCATCAACCACGAAATAGTGAATGCCAGGAATAAATTGGTGACACGATAGATCCTTCCTTCTAATTGCACAATGACTAGTTTCCAGCTTGGGGAATGTAATTGGCTTGTGGGGACGGAATGCGGTTAGTTTAGTAGGTTATGCAAAATTATTTAAAGCCTGACTTTTTGAAAAGCTGATATTCTCTGCTAATGACAATCGTAATAAAATTCGATGGGACCAGAACTTTACCAGGGTATATCGTTTTAAGGTATTCCAGTATAGTGATTCCATCCTCATTTTTTACGTCAAGTTCTTTGATGTCAGAGTCCTTCTTGGGCTTATCATACTTTTTTTTGCCATCCCTTTTTTTGATGTCAAACATGACTTCTTCTGAGTAGTAAGGTGTGAAAACACTGCACATATCACCACACAAATGTTGGACTCTATTTCTACATCTCTGACTACGACAGGACTGGAATTCAAAGAAAGTTCAATTCAAACCTGAGGGCCAAACAAATAATCAAAATGCTTGTACTCATTCGTAGTTCAGTACTTACCAAAAAGCGAACATTTTGGCGACAGGTCGAGCGTCAGGCATATTCATAAACAGAGAATTCGTGAAAAACTCTAAGCGACGCCTAGCCTCCAAATTCTTGGGAACAGTATGTGTATCGTAGGTCTTCTTATTTCGATCCTTGTCAAAGTATGTATGTATTTTAAAAATATTTTGAAGTCGATCTGCTCGCTTTCGCTGAATCAAAATGGTGAGTTGAATGATGAGAATTTCAGTGAATAATAACTTGCAAAGCAAAGGTGAGAAAGAAATAACGGCCCAAACGGCTACGCACAAGTATCGGAGCGCTTTACTAATGAGAGTAAGATAAATAAACAAATAAAAACATGAGAAAAATAAAACTCTTAAGAATAGACAGCTACTAAAAAATTATACTAAATTTGCAAGCTTCCAAAATGCAAGAATGACTATACCCATGCTTCGTCAGGCCAGATCAAATTTTTAAAAAATCGACCTTCCTGTATAAGCTTTTTGAAACGTAAGAAATCAGAGGGTATGTCATTCCTGCAAACAGAGAAAAGGAGCAATAATTTACAGAAATTAATACGCAAAACCACTACTCCATGTAAAAAAGCAAATGAATCTTACATCCTTGAATAAACTTTGAAAAAGTATCAAAACTGATAAGCAATGATGAAACCATTCACTGTACTGTACCCGTTTAAGTTTAGCATGTCGTTCATCACAATTCTGGCAAGTTCGTCCAACAATGATATCGACGCCTTCCGGCGTTCTTCATTTTCTTCTCCAGCCTGCAACCAATTTCTGTCAGGTTTGTGCTGGACAGAAAAAATGGGCATAACAATGCGAACATAAACATGGCTTTCACAAAAAGGGAAGCTTCTAAACGTCAACAATCTCAACAACAGAGGAGTCCATAATCAGTGACAAATCCTGTTCTGACTTGGACAGTTAAATCTGGGCTACACTGCATCCTTCATCAATTATCAAGTTCTAAAATTGTATAATTACCAAATTGATGTTTCAGCATGGAATTCATAATCATCAAAAATGCAAAATCTAGGATTAGCATAGTTAGCACAAGTCAATAATTCAGCGATGAAATTAGAAAAACCAGAAAACAAACGGATGGTATTTCTAGATAATCGGATGTGTGAGGCTAGTGACAAGTTGTTGCTCACAAGCTCACTTCGATGATCACTCACCAGATGTTTAGTCAGGTCTGCAAGCTTCTTCACTACTAAGGGTAGCTTCTCTATGTTATATTGAATTACAAATCCTCCAGCAGCAACTTTTGCTCTGACATCTCCAAATAGTCTCTGTAACCTGGATCAATCACAATAAAACACATCAAAATTTTCTCTTCCCTGCACGATCCCAATCACGAACTTGAATTCACTAGGTAGAAATTGGATTAAAAATCTCGATTTTCAAGTTCAATTTGTTTCAAGTATGATTCAAGAAATTAAATATATTTGAATTCAATCAAGAAAACATAAAAAGGAATAATACATAACCTACTATACTGTTTCCTTGACCAGTATAGCTCTCAAAAGACAATGCTCTAGATATTTCAAGTATTTACCATAGCCATGGATTGTCATTTTCTCTGAATAAAGAAAGCAACAGCTGCTCTAAAGTATGAAAGCTCTCCTCTATGGCAAATTTCGTGAATTCATCACTTGAAACCTTCTCCCAGAGTTCGATTTGATAGTCACCCCTGCTCACTTCAGTAAAACTAGGAGCAAGATGAAAATCCCTCTCCTTGCTCTTCTTCACTTCATCAGCAGCAGTATCAACTGCGATTTGAACCTGCCTCCTCAAAAACACATGGCCATTAAATTATCTTGGTGATAAGAAATTTCATGACGCAAAAAGATTAATACTGTCGTGTAGTGCCTACATGTTAAAGACTCAAGCATAATACAGTGGAAATACTGAAAAATTATGTTCATATGTAAAGCGGAGCATATGATCAAGCTTGAGAACGTTTTATGGCAATCTTGAGATGCTACATTTTTAAATATCTTATTATCACCAACAACCAAAAGACAAGAAAGACTTACAAAATGTATCATTAAAATGAACTCAAAGACAAAGTCAGGAAAATACAAGCGCTAAGACAACTATAGCTTTGATACCTTGTTAGCAACGAGAAATAGCGGCCAGCACATCTGAGTATCCTCTTTTCCGTTAGGATAAGTGCGACTATTTGGTGGCATCTCCAGCATAAGGCGTTCACTACAAGAAAGAGCATAAGCAGCTTCATCTATTTTCAGAAAAACTGGACACTATTCCAGCAGATCAATGAGAAAACCTTTACTAGTAACAAAGATATCTACAGAAATTTAGAACGGGATCTTCTTTCATGTCAAATTTCTGAAATTCATGAGCAATCCAACGAGAACAAGCAGGTCCATCTGTACTCGACAGCAAAGGACAACTACAAACGACTAAGAACACACGATTAGATGCAAAGTGACGTCCAACATACGTGTTGCTCAAGAGGTCTTCCTCTCGGAGGCTTTCGATAACTGCATTCCAAATGGGAAGGAATCTTCTGGCATCATCCTTACTCGAGATACTCCGACTCTTAGCCTTGATATTGTTTGCACATCACAGAAATCTCCAATTAAAAATTAAAAGAAATTCCACCGCAGTCCAAGAACAAATGATAGTGTTACTAATATTTCCAAGATGATTCACATAATGAGATCCAATTGTGCCACTAGATTTGCTAACTGAGAAGAACAGGGAAAACCACAACTATTAATATCTACTATAAAGATCTGAGAGAGAATTACATGTATCTCTCTTATGTTGTCTTGTTGTTAGCTGTTTAGCAATAGAGCTGTGATGGTATTGACAAAAAACCAGAGCCATTTGATATAACAACTAGATTCTGAGAAGTAGCTAGTCAGAGACAAATGACATTGCTAAAAGGAGAATTACCTTTTTTCCCCCCATGGTCGCGTCCATTTTTTTCACAAATTCTTGAGGAAAATAAAGGAATCTATTCCTCAATGTGTCCAGCGATCGAATCTGAAAAGCCAAAAGGGAAGCATGATACAGATCAAATTAGTTTATTCATTACGAACCGGATACGTAGTGTAACGAGGTTGTACCCTGACTAGATAGTAAGAGAGAACTAAATGACACTAAAAAATAGACTACCCAACACCTGTAAATAATTCCTTCCCCTAAATTGTTAATAGATAACAGTTGCAAGATACCAGAAGGATCCAACAACTGTAGTCTTTGTCATGAGCCTAAAGACTCTTCATCAATTCTTTTAAAAGAAAGATCAGGCACCCTACCTGCTACATTTGAGCACTCAACCCAGCTTCTTCCTTATGGAGGCTGCCCGCTCAAGAAGTGAAAACTAGTTTTTGTCTAAGTCATTGCTCACCCTCATCCCTATCCTCACACTTGCTCAGGAACTTCAAAAGACGAGGACTATTTAGAGCTTAGGAATTACCTCGCCTAGTCTGTCTCTTGCACCTTCCAGACCTCCCAGCAATGCTGATGCTACAGTATACCACACTTGCACATCCAATACATAAATCTGAAGAAAAACAGATGGAAATGAAGTATCGTAAGCCAATGTAGCGTAATCACCATGGTAGACATGAATACAACAAAATTCAAAAGTTCTCTTCCTTGAGGAGAATAAAGAGCACTGACCAGTCCACGTTGCGAAACAGTAGTACAGGACTACATTTTCATCAATTATCAGGCAACATACCACAATTTACAAAGGACAAAACCTAACATGGTACAAATGACGATAAATCGTAATATCACTAAGTTTCGTAAAATGGCATCAAAAAATTTACATGAGCATATTTGTAGAAAGTCAATACATCAGATGATTGTATTAAGAAACAGAACAAATCGTATCTGATTATTCCAGAAAACCCTGTTGAGAATGATATACCATTATAACTGGAGCCCAAAATGATACGAGAGTGAATACGTTGTGGTTACCTGCCAGACCATGAGTACAAAGATAGTCATTATCAACATTTGTCGCCAGCTATGGCAGTTGCTTGAAATTACGTTTTCAACAATTTGAAATGAAATATACATGGACTTCGATATTGTGGATTAACGAACGACATACCCTTTGAGACAAAACTGTGCCAAGAATAAGTAATATTCTTAAATCCAACTATGATTCTTGTGGGCTCCACCATGGGCAAAAGCTGCATCATGTAGAACCAACAGCACAAATTTTCTAAACCCTCCATAACAAAACTCAATGTATTCAGGAAGAAGCTTCTAAACTGAGCATCAAAAGGGACAAGGCCAAGAAGATCAGAAATTCAGATGTTTTAACAGGTAGACAGAGCTCTGAAAAAGTATGGACATGATTCCCACCTGAAAATGCATGGTGAATGCAAATTTGCAAGCTAACACAACGATCCAGAAGAGGGAGTACCTACCCAAGTTCAAAACAAATCCACAAAGAATCTCTCCATCAAAATCACAAAACGTGTTGTACCCCTATCTCCTTTATACATTACACATACATCATGTATGAAGGTCACATTTGAATGTCACGTTGCAACGCGAAGGGTATCTTTTAAAATGACATCGTAGACGGCAACAAGGCAAATTTGAGCAGATGAACCTACTTCAGGTAATCACTTGTTCTTTCATACATGCCACGTCCAACATAGTATCTTTCCTGATAAACAGAAAGATGTACTTGTCAGCCAAAACCGTCATACTCAACGTCACTTTAATTTCTCAAATACTTTTAAACAAACAATAGATGAAATATTACTGGATGAGGTAGCTGTATAACTTGATTGAAATATAACGTAGTTACATGTACCTCTTGAATCCACTTGATGAATTGACACGCTCGAACATTTGAACAGCTATCAAATTGTTTTCGGAGAAATGGCAGACGCAAGAGAAACGCAAAGAACACTTGAGCTCCGGCATAACATCCCAGGACAAGGCTGTAAAGTCGAAACCAAGGTGTAGAGGAATGATTCCTTGCATCTTCTTGTAGAGTTTTCCTGCAAAATAAATCTCTTGATCAGCACCAAGATATACAAGTCTAAGATCGTCTTAAAATATCACTGTGCCTACTATACCAGGCCTGTTATAACCAACAATATTGTCAAAGACTGTGTAAACCATTCTAAGTCAACTTGTCAGTACGCACATGTTTTGTACTAAGAAGGCAGATGAATAGCAATATAAAGGTAGTATACTTACACATAGAGGAATACAAGAGCACTGGATACGCATATTAGCCAGATCAGTCGTATTAGCATCCGTGAGACGATCTGCTTCCGAGTACTTTTCATGGCTCCCCACATAAATACAAAATCCAAAATTGCTGAAAAAATTTAAGCAATGATTTGAATCAGTACACTTTCTGTCGAAAAGTTGAGCATTTAAAAATTTTAAAAATCAAAACAAAACAAAACAAACAAACAGATCTTCTGCAAGAGAATCGAAGTGGTCAGAAAAATGGGAACACATCACTTCGAATTAAAATACAATAAAATCTCACATCAACTACCAATTCAACCAGCTACAGAGGATTAAAAGGAGGATACAGGTCACGACTGCATATTTCTTTGGTAATCTTCAACAAATTTTACTAGCTGGGACCACTCACATTTAAAAAGCTTCATGATAGCAAATGTAGGGCCGACACTCATCATTTTTTTGATGGTTCGAAGATGTAAGTTTAATTTTCTATTTTCGCTGCAAAATGCCCATACTGCCAAAATCTGAATAGATAAGCCAGAAGAGCGGTATCGTTAACCAAGATGAAAGGCATGACAAAAAAATTGTAAGTATGCAATTCTTTTATCTTCATGCAGGAAGCAGATCACGACAGAAATTAAGATGTTCAGGTATAGAGATTAAAAAAGCCTACTTGGGAATCAAAGCTCACTCTCCAATTGAGACAGAAAAAACTATGTTCTACGTGGAAGGATTACCTGAAGCATACAAACTAACATAACCCACAGCCGGTGAAAGGTATGATACAAATGGAGACTGGATCGGTGCTCCACAAAATGAATCTTTCCAACAGGAGGTGCCTTCCGAGAATCAGACCCCAACAATGGATCTAATTCTGTCCGTGAATTGATTGTCTGCGCATAATCAAGAATAAAAGTTAGTCCCCGCAATACAAAGTCATACCAAACACTAAAACAAATTGAGCTACGCCGTTTGATATCTTCAAAACAATTCTCTCGATGACTACAAAAATTTCGCATGCTGCAGGAGTTCAAGGGCGTCGTATTGTCGGACACGAAGGTAACGCACAAGCTACAACAAAAAGACTCATGAACATCTCGAAAAAAATCAGCATGACCAACCTTTTTGTCACCACGCTTCGTGAAGAAACATGCCTCTAATTTCCAAGGCCAACCAAGTTCAAAGCAAGATGGTTGCCTGCACTCACCAAAGTCAGACTGATGCATTGAGAACACTTAACAAGTGAAGGAGAACTTTTGCGGCGGTCAAAATGTTCAAGCCAGTATTTCCAGAAGAGCAATCCTTTAAAAACAGGAAAAAGAGCGAGGAATATTTCCTAGTTCTCTGAGCAGGAAGAAATGGATTACTTTACCAAAAATACTCGTTAAAATCGTCATAATTCCGCCAGCTTCCGTGTGGTACTTTCCCATGTTGACTATTTGCGGCCTCCTGAATGAAACCATGACGTCTGAGAATGAGAATCGAAAGTAAAACACACACACACCCAAAAAAAAAAAAAAAAAAAAAAAAAAAAAATCGTCCTTCGGCGCACTCGATTGACATCATTAAACTTAGCACGTACATGAGGCACATTAATAATTATTTGAGGTACAGCGCACCACAGTGCTTACCGCAGCCACAATTTCGTAAACTGGTGTAATAATCTGCTCAAGGAATAAATACTCGGTATTTGTTACCGAGTTTTTAATATCCTCAATTTTAAGTGTAACCGTTGACCTCGCAGGCTTATCTTTTTCCAGCAATGAAAAACAGTCATCTGCCATCTGTTGCGAGATATCAAAAACAAATGATGCTTTTTAAGTAAAACGGGGTGGACTTAAATGTAAATTAAAGCTATTAAAACACGGTAATGGGCTTACAACCTATTGAAATGAGAATGTTGGGAACAAGCCACGAACTCAAATCCCGACTTGTTATCAAGAGTGACATCACGAACACGAGAAATAAACTATGTACCAAGGGGGTGTTCATGCAACTAACATCGCCACACCCTTTCCACAGGCCTGAATTGGATGTAGGGAGGACCAAAGACACTGGATGATCCTCGAGCAGTCCAGCCTCTAAGCATACTGCAACTAAAAGCAATCACACGCTAATCTTTGCAGACAAATGATTATGAAAACTTCCGCTCACAACGAAGAAAACTGAATGCAGCTTACGTTATGAAATATGTAGCACAAGCATTCAGGAAGAAAGCGAACATTCGCCGCTTCACCCCAAATTAATAGATAAAGTGCAGTCAAGCAGAGTTTCTTTTGAGGATTCGACGCCCTGCATTCCGAATTGAATAACCTTAACAAAATTATTGACCTTGTTGGAAGAATTTTAAAGTTTGGGATGCAGACTATAAATGGCTTCATCAAATATAAATAACCTGAAAGATGGTGTGATTAAATAGTAACAGTAAATATAAGCTACCAGACAATTTTATCATTGACGAGGCACGGAAAGGATGCTGACGTTTCACTACCACAAAACACTTTATTATAGTTTTCAGCATCTTGGATTTGAAAATAATTGAGTCCTGGATGTCCAGGTTCAAGAAAAGTAGAAATATCTCACCATTTAGTATGATCGTTCAAGTTCAGGAATTTACACCACCGCATATAGTTTGCTAAGATCCGATCGTGAACTGTTTCGATAGCTTTCTCACCCAACTTAATTACACAATGAAAGATATCTCAGATTTGTTAACTCCAATGCCAACGAGAAAACAACTAGCTCTCGAAACAGATTTCAGGACAAGGTGTTATTAATTTACACTTTCAAATATGATCTTACTGATGTAAAGTAAAACTGAGGCTGAGAAGACAACAGTAACATTTCAGAAATGTACCAAATACCTTGGCATTGTGAGGTGCAGCCCCGTTACAGGGTTTGTCCGCACGAGTTTCTGCATTAGCCAAGAGAAGAACAAGATGTTCCCGCTGATTTGACACATTGTCTTTCTGAAAACATTGACAGGAGATGTAGTGAGAAAAATGTCTCTCTCAGGATGCACCAACACAAATTTGTGGAAGCTTGAACTCATCAACGCAAACCTCCTCTGCACATCCTAACATGCATGAACTTGAAATTTCGCAAGCATATACACATTCTTTTTGTGCTCTATTTTCACAGAAAGGAGGCAACCTCACTACGTCTGACAAATTTAATCCAGGGAAAATCGTTCGGAGAGGTATTAGCCAGTAAATGTAGCTAAACAAACATCAACTGAGCACGCATGGTAGTAACATATATTTTCAGGTGCATTTACACTTGCTGTGGGCACTTACCTGAAAACAAAAAGCGTAGTGCAAGAAATCAAAAATGTCCAAGACATCTCTGCCGACTTTTTTGGAGTATCCACGGTCAAACTGTGGAAACTGCAGCCATTCGGTTGTGTACAGAGCTTTTGTAGCAGCAACTACCTGGAGGCATGCCAATAAAATTCAATGCAAAAACATCTAATCCAAATAAACTTCTGTCAGTTTGTGTGACACACTTAGTCACTCCCTAGAAGAGCACAGTGAACACACTAGGAGCCACACACCCCTTTCGGGCGTTACAGTAACTGCATGCGATTCTAACCCCGCGAAATGAGGGGTGAATCGATCCAAAAGCATCCTCGGATCAAATCAATAATGTAAAAGTTATGTTTACTATGCGGGAGCAAGGTTCTCAGAGTACAACATTTATTACTAATATTCAAGGTGCGTATACACGGGTAGAAGGCGATAGCGTAACCGAAGCAACTTGGGAAGTGCATCGTGCAAACATCTCATCACAAAACTCAATCATTTTCAAATCCAACAATCTGCAATTCAAGAAAAGAAATAGAATCTAACCTCGGCAAAACTCTGAAAAGGGTTTGGGACACCAGTCGACTCCAAGGGCAATATATTATAGGCTTTGAACTGATCAATTTTTTTGGCATCAATATCCAATGCTGCTTCCTGACGACAAAAACAAAACAATTCACGGAGCCCATCGTTAGTAAAGCACCCTTCAAAACACAACGCCTCTACTATGAACATAAAGCATTACCCACGACTACTGGCACTACAGAGCGTAGATTAAACTTACAGCTGCATAAGAACCTGTGGGCTTTACGTCAGATGAAATAGGAGCTGTGGGGCCAGTTTTAGGCCGATCACGAATGCTGGAGCCTACTTGAGGTTCTACTTCCACATTTGAAACATCCGACTCGCTCAACCGCCGGTAGTACTTAACCGCACTATTCAAGATCTTTGAAGCTTCATAGAATTTTCTGAGCTTGCCTGCTCTCCACTCTTGACTGCGGAAATCAAACCACATTGCTTAATCACACGGCAGCAGCTCGGTTTATCGTCTGTCACGTCATTATGTATCACTTCATGACAGGCTCACATACAATTAAAATCAGCTTGTGTGTAACCGGTTCAACAAAGTGTGGATAGTTTTGAAACAAGAAACGACCATCCCATAGTAATATGTTGCAGCTGCTAAGAACACAGCTACAAGCATCAAACTGCAATATGAAACTTCAGTTTGTTTTAATCCATACGTAACGAACATGCAGATTTCATCAACAGAAATAGGTATCAGCAACATACTATTCATCAGTCCCGTCTTGAATATGACCTTCTCGAGCGGCTCGATCTTGTTCTTGAAGATGATCAATGTCATGTGCCTCCTTGTACATACTGTAAAACTCAGTGAGGATCTTGACATCTTGACTTGGGTCAGTCTGCTGCGTCGGGCGATTGGCTTTTATTCGATTGGTCTGTATTGTTCCAAAGATTCCAAATTATAATTACTTAGTGTAAGTATCTTGCTTGGAAATTCATTTACCAAGCTTGCAACCAGCCTAGGCGTTAGAACTCTAGGGATCCTTGTAACTCCAGAGTACAGACCACTGGACGCTAACAAATTATGTAAGGACATCACATTGTGTCAACTTAGGAATGATAAACTTCGATATAGTTGAAACACAAAGACACAAAAGTTGTGTACCGATATTAGCCACGTTGATGGCATTGTAGTAATTTTGTAGGCAAGAATCATTTAATGTAAACGAGCAACATAATCGGACTCTTAAATTTCAATTCTGGGTCACATGAATTGACTTCTAATTACGGCAACAACGCGCTTGCACTCGTGCTCACTGTCTTGCGTAGTCGTAAACTGGGGTAAAAGGTGCATTCGCCATGGAATTATCATAAACAAGTTCATGCAATTAGCTCGTACAAAAGAAGTTCAGCGGCAGTATAATGACTTACAATGAGAACGGCTTTCAAAGCCGATTTGAATTGGAGAACGCCTCGTCCTTGATTCATGGGATCCATCTGTTGAGTTAAATTGTATGCATACTCAAACACTGTTCCACACCCACTCAATATTTTTAACAACAAGTCCTCTGTCGACATCTGTATTCACGAATGTGGGGTATTGATGTGTGCGACACTACCAACGAGAAACTGGCTCTCTTTCTGTGGACTCTCGACTAAGGCTTTCATCTCTTTTCTAACTTACAGACAAGGAGGAACATATCTTAGATAGGGTGCCCTTTGGATAAGAAAATGAGATCAACTAAGCAGATTTCGACTCATGTATTACGAAACAACTGCCCACATTGCACTCCACAAACTTAACTTTCAGCACACACGCAAAAAAATAAAAAAATAAAAAAATAAATATATCGTGGTGGACTGCATATCTTTAGAAGATCGTGTTCATTAAATGCGGGTTAGATCAGTATCAAGATGAAGGCTCACAGAACTGTGTCGTCCAATGCAGTTGCGGACACAAAAATTCACATTACGAATCCTCAATTTCCTCCATCTTACTTTGTCTCAAGAAGGAAATACTAGGATATATAAGGCTTAGCAATCACAACCCTCGGAAATGAAGAAAATTGGCTGATCCTCTTAGTTTTTGGATGAATCTCTAAACTAACACGATTCAAATCCAAACCCACACTCAACCAACGCATGGGTAAAGAGTGGAGATTCACGTACAAATGCGAGCAACGTTGCTGTGATCCTTATCAACTTCTTCGGCAAAAGCCATGACAGCATCAATGCCGGTCTGCTGAGCAAGCGATTGTGGCACTGAGTAAGATTGAGATTTCTGACGCCACCCACTGGATTTCCGCACCACGCTCTCCTCCTCATCCTCTTCTTCTCCTTCATCACTACCAGAATCGAACTCGTCTGACTCCTCCCGATACGCCCACAACGCCTTTCGCACCAACTCCTCCCAATTCCGAACCACATTCATGCGAAAACGAGACGATCCTTCACTTCCTCTCACACTCCCCCTCCGCGAGACCGACGACCCCTCCGACTCCTCGGAAATCTCCGACCTCCCAAACCTCTCCGTCCTCTCCGACCTCTCCGACCTCCCCCTCTCGATCCTCTCTCTCCTCTCTCTCCCGCCCTGATGCCTCTCCATCCTCACCCCAACTCTCACTCACACACCCCCTCGCAATTCCTCCCTACAACTCACCCCAACTCCTTCACACCCCAAAACAACACGATGAATCTCGCCAAACACAAACAACAAAAAAATCCATCACGATCCACCTGCAATCCACCTACCACGCAAGAAAAACTCAAATGACGAAACACTGAAACATAAGAGGTGTAAGCGCAGCTGCATCGAGAACGAGAGTGATCCCCACAGCAAGAAGTACGCTATGGGATGACGCTGGGCACGAGACTCAGGAAAGGGGGGGACGCGGGGTTGAAGACCCGTTCCGGCTACCGATTTTTTGGTCCATAGTCGGTCGAGTCTGCAAGCAAGTAGGCAACGTGAGTCCAAACGGAAGAGAAAGAGAGAGAGCACGAGGTAGGAGTGTCGGCGCGATGAGCGCCAGTGCCAACCCAACATTAGAAGAGGGAAGGAGAAAAGGAAGAAAGAAGAAGGAAGGAAAGGAAAGGAGAAGAGGATATGAAGCAGGCAAGTGTGGCGGCCATAACATTTTCATGGACATAACGTGATATTGTGATGGGGCGTTATGGCGTTTCCCTACGTCGCTCTAGTTGACTTTCTGGGCGCCAGTCGGGGATCCAGCCGCACACCCTCCCTCCCTCTCACCCCCACGTTTCGCTCTCGCGACGGGATCCCACTGGGGTTAAAGTAATTTTAAATTACACTGCACAGAGGCCCGCCCATAGGCCGAATTGTTGTATGCAAACCACTGCATTAACCATTGGATTGGTTTTGCGTTGTGTCAGTATGATACTCTGAGCATTATGATATCTTTGGACTATTGATCAAACCTGCCGCTAATGAATTCATACAGCAAGTTACAAGGTGTGGAAGGAGCTCAAGTGTGAAACTGCACACCCAAGCACTCTCCTAGTTGCTTGTTATGACCTTGCTCCTTGTTTGAGTGTGAGATCGTTTGCTATAAAGGGTGGCATTTGCCAAGTGAAAAGTATCCCCTTCCATCTACCATCCATTATTAGTAATCATATTTGCTTAGATGTTGGGCAATGGCTATGTAGATTGCCAAAGCCACAAGAGAGTATTGACAAGTTTGCTTGTTGAGTTGCATCCACAATTTGGAGTTCTTTTTGCACAATTTAGTGGAGTTCTTTTTGCACAATTTAGGAGAGTTCTTTTTGAGTGTATAGTATTAAGTCCAATCGGGATCATAACTCTATCTCTATAGTATCAACTAGACAAGTTATATATAGAAAGTATATTGGTATAGGAGAGGAGAGATGATTGGTTTTGGTGTTGTGTTAGCCACAATTGTCTCTAATTGATCATAAAAAACATGGTAGCAACTCCTTTCTTCTTATCACATATAAAACAAAAAAAAATCAATTGGTACAACTGCCAATTTAAGATATATAGAATCATCAATAGAAAGTTGACAAGAAGCACAATTTTTTGAGTGCTTCTAACATTCTTGTCCATCTTTGCCTTCTAACAATAAAATACCACTAGATAATACATTCTTTATATATATAATTGTACGATGTGCCTTAACATCAAGTATTGTACGCAGCTCATATCGCAAATACATATAATCTCTTTTAGACAATCTTCACAACTAGGGTTGATAAGCTCCACAAGAATTGTGACCATATTGCAAAGTGTCAGAATGTTAAGCAATAGATAAGCTTTCCATAGCCATAGATATGACTTATTTAAAGAACTTTGCTTGATCATATAGACATTGAGTCTAAATCTCAAGATCATCTAGGTTTACAATTGGGGCTAGCTTCTCATATAATAAGTTGAGTAGAATTGGCTTTTGTCCATACAACACTTAATAAAGATTACAAGATGTCAAAGATGCTTTTCTACTAAAGTAATAATCTATAGTAATCCATGACAATACTAAGTTTCAATTACAATAGTTGATATAAACTAATCCATATTTCTATAATCCACATTTGAAAGTGTAATGGGATATAAATAAGATATTTTTATTGTTAGTATATAAGAATAGATAGTTGGAACCATATTTGAGAAGTTTATAGAAGTTTTTAGAATTGGAGCTAGATTAGTAGACTATGTAGGATCCACTATAGAACATTTTAGAAAAGCTTAGGATAATTATCTAGGTAGGATCTACCATAGAACATTCTAGAAAGGGCTTAGAGTGGTTATTTAGATAAGATCCACCATTCTTGGGCCACATAGCTACTTTGCAAAGACAAATGGAAGTCTTTAATATAAAGGAATTGACATCTGCTAGGGTCAAATTGAGTAAGCTTAATATATACTTTAAGACTTCAAGGCAAGAAGATGTATGTCAATGGCTCTTTTGCATGTAACAATATCTATAATTATTTGAGGCAAATACCAACAAATGAATTATATATGCAGCGAATTATTTAAGAAAAAGGGGAGCCATTTGGTGGCAAGATAGAATTTAAAGTTATGGAGCTTAAGATAGATTTTGCGATTAGAAGGAATTTGAGACCGAGTTGAAGAAATAATTTTGGCTCATCAATGCAAAAAAATAGTTTGTAATCAATTGACAAATCTTATACAATTTAGGTTGGTGTAAGTTTATATCACTTGATTCAAATCCCTATGTCTTTAAATTAACAATATTTTAGAGGTAAAGATAATGGATCAATTTCTACAAAGATTGAAACTTGAAATCCAGCAAGAGGTGGAACTAAAGAATCTACAAACATTTAAAGAAGCAATTAGGATTGTAGAGAGGATCAATACTATAGATTTCAGAAATTGTGGAATATGATATATAGCACAAACTTCTATGCTACTATCTAATATTATGATATAATAACCAATGCCAATAGAGATTGATGCCCTCCAAGGATCATTGACACTATAAAGACAACAAATATTGGTACAAAAGGGATTCTTTTTTTATTATAGGAAGCTAGGCCATGAAATCGAAGGTTGTCTAAAACATCAAAATTCAAGTACCAATAGATGAACGAGGGTTCATAATCTTGAGACTCATTAAGTTGATAATAAAATAGAATAGAGAAACGAGCCTCTCTAGTAAAGGTGCCAAGGGCTAGTATTAGGAATAAGTGTTGCCTTTGAGAAATAAATGGCTTGGCCTTGGATAACTGTAAAAATGATCAATTGGTGTATTTAACGAAATAACTAAAAAGACCACCATGTTAAGTGCTTGTAGATTGTGGCACTACAAAAAATTGAATCTGTATAGAAATTTTCAACCAACTTGGAATTAAAATTAAAATAATCAAAGGAGGAAGTATTCCTTGCAAATAACGAAGAGAATGTTGTCATATTACGTGCTTTCCTGCTCGAGAATGCGCCGGGCGTCTGGCTGTAGAAGGTAGTATGGAGATTCGCCAATAGTCAAGCAGTCTATCAGTTTTTGACTGCTGGAATATAAACGACTGCAAGAATACACCGTAAATCTATACAGATGCCCTTCGACTGCTTGTCGAAGTCCTTTTTGCCTCAGTCGGTAGGTCTCTAGACGTTACAGAGAACCCCGAACAATCCAATCTGTTAATCTCCGATACCGCTTTGTACTTACGATTTTGTATCCACTGACTGTCTTGTTAGAGTAACCCAATAAATTTCATTCACTCCGCATACTCAATCCTATAGACACCCTTTTAATCCTTCAATCACAGACGTAACTTGATTTCACAAAACAGTCAAGAGTAATCAAACCCACTTCATTAAAAAATCCCGATTCACCATTGCAACACTAACTTCAGCAACGATTGCCTCAGTCTTCCCAAAACTCTATGAAGAAGAAAAATTCAATTCTCCGTCTTTTCTTCCCCGATCCGAAGCATGAAGCTCCTCTCCAATTCCCTTGATCTTTAAAAACCTCCAATGAAAACGAACTAGTAACATTGCAAAGAGCTTGAAGCTAGCTCTTCCCTCCAAAAAAAACCTCCCCCCTGATCTCATTCTTCCCCTAACCTTATCCTCTGAATTTCTTCAATCTTCCGTCTTGGATCCGGAATTGGCTCCCATCGTCAGAGCTTAGATCCAAAATTGGCTCCTGCCGTCAGAGCTTTCTCCTCCATTTTTACCTTTAAGAGATCCATTTACCAAAAACAACGTTCCTTGAAACGGCACAGAGAATAGGACAGCCTGAAACAGAATCGAAACCCCGTACTCGGGTCCACATTGAGTCGCTCGACCAATTCAGGTCTCATATTGGGTAAAATGCCCGTAGTAAGACCTGGATTTTCCTGTAATTAGACTGCATTGGGTTACCAGGCCAATTCAAGTCTCATATTGGGTAAGAGGACCCGGATTGGATGTCTTGAAATTGGATCCAATTGGCTCTTCGAACCAGACTCCCTGAGGCCCGTAGTAAGACCTGGATTTTCCCGTAATTAGACTGCATTGGGTTGCCCGACCAATGCAGGTCTCATATTGGGTAAGATGCCCGTAGTAACCTGGATGTTCCTGTAATTACTCTGCATTGGATTGCCCGATCTATACAGGTCTCATATTGGATAAGAGGACCCGTAGTAAGACCTGGATTTTTCCGTAATCAGACTGCATTGGGTTGCTCGACCAATTCAAGTCTCATATTGGGTAAGAGGATTCGGATTAGATTCTCGAAATTGGATCCAATTGGCTCTTCGAACCAGGCTCACCTGTCGCGTGAATTGGTCCTTTCCCTTCCTGCTGACTCCCGTTATTGGAATCGAACGGAGCATTTCAGTATGCCCCAGCTGATTGTAACGGGGTGACTGAACCTGACCACTCAGTATTTGCACTGGAGTTGGTCATTGCTCCCAATATTCGAGGTAACTGAATATTAATAAAAGTCCTTTTTTTTTATATTTTCACGGTATACTCGTGTTACAACGCGACAACGTATTGAATGAAACATATGAAGAAGAAACCTTGAGGTTGAGTGACATTTATATTTTGAGAGAGAAGTTCAAGATAACAAAGCTAAGATATGATATTATTCTTGGTATGCCATAGCGAGAGGTGAAAAATAAGCAAATTGATTAGCTTATAAGGATAATCTCCTTCAAAGATGGTGGATGCAAGGTAACTTTTTGTATCTATACATTGAGTAAGGAAAAAAAATGATTTGCAACTATAAACTTACTTGTGGAAATGACATTTATGAAGAAACAAATACAACATAAGTAACCAGTATATATGGTGGTTTCAAACCTTGTGTTGGTGGTAGAAAAGACAACCAAAGGAATAGAATAAGTAGAACAACTCATACTAGAATATTGGAATGTCTTTCCAACTGACCTACTTATTAACGTGCCTTCAGATTGAAGTGCCTCTTTCCAAACAGAACTATTGGCAATTCAGTTAATTTATTGCCTAGCACCAAATAAACTTGTAGAGCTACAAAAGACATTAGATAAATTCTTGAAGAAGGGTGTCATTTAAGAAAGCACATTACTGTAGAGACCACCCATATTCTTTGCATCCAAAAATAATAGTGAAATT